AGTCATCGTTCTCGAAAGGAAAGTCAATATAAATGAGTGAACGGCTTAGTTTTATACTAAAATGTTGTTCATTGTGTTTGTATAACCGCTTGATTCGCCGGTACACTTTGGGCCTAAATTGTATGTATTTATTTCACAAGTTTTTATTGTTTATCTTCGCTGATTCTGTTCTATTTTCGGGGAATATTTAAGTCCGATCTTTCTTCTTTATTTCTTTTACTAACTATCCATGATATGACGGTGTTGGTTTTGGTTGGATCCCTCCCTGGCCTGGCCTGGCCTCCCCTCCCAGCCTCCCCTTTCAAAGGAAAAGTGCTGACTCAGTTGTTCCAATTCAAGATGGCGGACAAAGTGCAAAACCATCTTCCAACAGCTAGTGTCAGGAATTGAAGTTGTCGTTTTGTGGAATACTTGAGCAAGAACCGAGCTCAGAGAGCAGGGGAACAGGGTCAACGGTAAACATCGATAGTAGATCTGTACGATTGATCTTTAATCGGTTATGTTTGCGCTCTTTTAATATATCTTCTTAAATTAATATAAACACGAGTTCCCGTGTCAGATGGATCTGAGCGTGAAAGATCATAAAATCATCAAGACTGTTATCCAGTTTATTGTAGCATGGGTATTTGTCCCAGCCTTTTCGAAGGAGTAGGTGCAGCCTTTAAACAAAGAACTGGTTTCGGTGATGCTTGTGTGCTGAGCAAGAGATATCAAGTGTCCACAATGTTTGTATATAAAGTGTGTATAACGGTCTTGGTTAATTGTCTTGACGAAGTTTGGCTAACTCTGGCTTCAGTGTATAATACCTGCGTGGTTTGATTCATTGTGGCGAGGAATAGAATGGTCGCAGTAGGTTTGTCCACTTTCTCTACAAGTGCCGTCCCACACCTCGAAGTTATGTATTTGAAATTAAATCAAAGTTGGATTTTATATGCAATCAATTGGAATAACAAAAATGTGCTCTTAAAATGGCCATAAACATGCTGTGTTTCTTGTGTGAATGAAAATTTAGCTACAGAAGAATTCAGGCTGATTCATCGAGATTATGGTCTATCATTGGGATAATACCTGTATTACCATACTGCACTGGTATACCCAACAATGGTGGAGTCTTCGTTCAAACTATCTCATGGATCAGTATGAATGAATAAGCTAAATCCACAATTAGTAGAAAATCTTGAGTTGTTTTCAATGTCAGATAATTTGAAATATGAATTTGAAAACTCGCAGGGAAAGCCAGGGGATTTATCCAGACTTTTGATTGACAGTTCTCGGGCTGAAAGCACTAACGAGAACGCAGAGTTGACTGTCTGAATGTCTTTGTCGCTGTTTTACTGCTGCAAGGTTGAAGAAGATGTTTGCTGTTTATGAATGATTTCTGGTATTGTACTATTGTTTAATTCATTGCCTCCTATATCATGCAGAGACTGGGGAGAGTATTCAGGGGTTAATTAAGGTGGTTTTAGTCGATATAAATTTTTTTGCGAACCATATCCGTTCCAAAATATGTTTAATAACAGTATTTTTGTATGTAAAACAAAAATTTGGAAAGCGTGCCAAAAAAAAAATTGGGGGAAAAACACCCAAAAGAGATCATCCAGCCTATGCCACAATCTAACCTGGTGATACAACCGGCTGCAATATCAGCATAGTTACAACTACGAAAGGTGCAAGGCGGTTGCTATAGGAAGAACTCCCCCCCATAACTCACATCTTAACGGCCGTCTAAGGGGGAGATGCACTACGGCCCCCAGACCGATGTATGTGCACCTAACCGTTACGTCTCAGTGAGAAACAGAGTATGCATCGCCACAAGCCTAGCGTCATAGACGAATCAGCTACAGTGGCTAGCCCTGAGAGCGAAGATAAATTTAACGTATTTAAGCTTTTCCTGGTCTCGGGGGCGGTCCCTAACAAGTATATGCACAGAAAACGAAATAAGGCACACGCTTGGAAATGTCAAGATTTAAACGCCTAAACGTTTTTAAGTATTTTTAGCGAGAAATTTATAGTGTTTTTATATTCTTTTGAAATTTTAGTGAAACAATCCTTGTTGGTTTTTAACGTCAAAATAGTCATCGTTCTCGAAAGGAAAGTCAATATAAATGAGTGAACGGCTTAGTTTTATACTAAAATGTTTTGTTCATTTTGTGTTTTGTATAACCGCTTGATTCGCCGGTACACTTTGGGCCTAAATTGTATGTATTTATTTCACAAGTTTTTATTGTTTATCTTCGCTGATTCTGTTCTATTTTCGGGAATATTTAAGTCCATCTTTCTTCTTTATTTCTTTACTAACTATCCATGATATGACGGTGTTGGTTTTGGTTGGATCCCTCCCTGGCCTGGCCTGGCCTCCCCTCCCAGCCTCCCCTTTCAAAGGAAAAGTGCTGACTCAGTTGTTCCAATTCAAGATGGCGGACAAAGTGCAAAACCATCTTCCAACAGCTAGGTCAGGAATTGAAGTTGTCGTTTTGTGGAATACTTGAGCAAAACCGAGCTCAGAGAGCAGGGAACAGGGTCAACGGTAAACATCGATAGTAGATCAGTACGATTGATCTTTAATCGGTTATGTTTGCGCTCTTTTAATATATCTTCTTAAATTAATATAAACACGAGTTCCCGTGTCAGATGGATCTGAGCGTGAAAGATCATAAAATCATCAAGACTGTTATCCAGTTTATTGTAGCATGGGTATTTGTCCCAGCCTTTTCGAAGGAGTAGGTGCAGCCTTTAAACAAAGAACTGGTTTCGGTGATGCTTGTGTGCTGAGCAAGAGATATCAAGTGTCCACAATGTTTGTATATAAAGTGTGTATAACGGTCTTGGTTAATTCTTGACGAGCCTTCATTAAGCGGAGAGATGTTGAAAAGCACCCCCGTGCGCTGATGTTAAGTTTGGCTAACTCTGGCTTCAGTGTATAATACCTGCGTGGTTTGAATCATTGTGGCGAGGAATAGAATGGTCGCAGTAGGTTTGTCCACTTTCTCTACAAGTGCCGTCCCACACCTCGAAGTTATGTATTTGAAATTAAATCAAAGTTGGATTTTATATGCAATCAATTGTGAATAACAATTAAATGTGCTCTTAAAATGGCAATAAACATGCTGTGTTTCTTGTTGTGGAATGAAAATTTAGCTACAGAAGAATTCAGGCTGATTCATCGAGTTTATGGTCTATCATTGGGATATAACCTGTATTACCATACTGCACTGGTATACCCAACAATGGTGGAGTCTTCGTTTAAACTATATCATGGATCAGTATTAATGAATAAGCTAAATCCACAATTAGTAGAAAATCTTGAGTTGTTTTCAATGTCAGATATTTTGAAATATGAATTTGAAAACTCGCAGGGAAAGCCAGGGGATTTATCCAGACTTTTGATTGACAGTTCTCGGGCTGAAGCACTAACGAGAACGCAGAGTTGACTGTCTGAATGTCTTTGTCGCTGTTTTACTGCTGCAAGGTTGAAGAAGATGTTTGCTGTTTATGAATGATTTCTGGTATTGTACTATTGTTTAATTCATTGCCTCCTATATCATGCAGAGACTGGGGAGAGTATTCAGGGGTTAATTAAGGTGGTTTTTAGTCGATATAAATTTTTTTGCGAACCATATCCGTTCCAAAATATGTTTAATAACAGTATTTTTTGTATGTAAAACAAAAATTTGGAAAGCGTGCCAAAAAAAAAATTGGGGGAAAAACACCCAAAAGAGATCATCCAGCCTATGCCACAATCTAACCTGGTTATACAACCGGCTGCAATATTCAGCATAGTTACAACTACGAAAGGTGCAAGGCGGTTGCTATAGGAAGAACTCCCCCCCATAACTCACATCTTAACGGCCGTCTAAGGGGGAGATGCACTACGGCCCCCAGACCATGATGTATGTGCACCTAACCGTTACGTCTCAGTGAGAAACAGAGTATGCATCGCCACAAGCCTAGCGTCATAGACGAATCAGCTACAGTGGCTAGCCCTGAGAGCGAAGATAAATTTAACGTATTTAAGCTTTTCCTGGTCTCGGGGGGCGGTCCCTAACAAGTATATGCACAGAAAACGACTAATAAGGCACACGCTTGGAAATGTCAAGATTTAAACGCCTAAACGTTTTTAAGTATTTTTAGCGAGAAATTTATAGTGTTTTTATATTCTTTTAGAAATTTTAGTGTTTGAAACAATCCTTGTTGGTTTTTAACGTCAAAATAGTCATCGTTCTCGAAAGGAAAGTCAATATAAATGAGTGAACGGCTTAGTTTTATACTAAAATGTGTTGTTCATTTGTGTTTTGTATAACCGCTTGATTCGCCGGTACACTTTGGGCCTAAATTGTATGTATTTATTTCACAAGTTTTTATTGTTTATCTTCGCTGATTCTGTTCTATTTTCGGGGAATATTTAAGTCCGATCTTTCTTCTTTATTTCTTTTACTAACTATCCATGATATGACGGTGTTGGTTTTGGTTGGATCCCTCCCTGGCCTGGCCTGGCCTCCCCTCCCAGCCTCCCCTTTCAAAGGAAAAGTGCTGACTCAGTTGTTCCAATTCAAGATGGCGGACAAAGTGCAAAACCATCTTCCAACAGCTAGTGTCAGGAATTGAAGTTGTCGTTTTGTGGAATACTTGAGCAAGAACCGAGCTCAGGAGCAGGGAACAGGGTCAACGGTAAACATCGATAGTAGATCTGTACGATTGATCTTTAATCGGTTATGTTTGCGCTCTTTTAATATATCTTCTTAAATTAATATAAACACGAGTTCCCGTGTCAGATGGATCTGAGCGTGAAAGATCATAAAATCATCAAGACTGTTATCCAGTTTATTGTAGCATGGGTATTTGTCCCAGCCTTTTCGAAGGAGTAGGTGCAGCCTTTAAACAAAGAACTGGTTTCGGTGATGCTTGTGTGCTGAGCAAGAGATATCAAGTGTCCACAATGTTTGTATATAAAGTGTGTATAACGGTCTTGGTTAATGTTGAAAAGCACCCCGAAAGTTTGGCTAACTCTGGCTTCAGTGTATAATACCTGCGTGGTTTGATTCATTGTGGCGAGGAATAGAATGGTCGCAGTAGGTTTGTCCACTTTCTCTACAAGTGCCGTCCCACACCTCGAAGTTATGTATTTGAAATTAAATCAAAGTTGGATTTTATATGCAATCAATTGGGAATAACAATTAAATGTGCTCTTAAAATGGCCATAAACATGCTGTGTTTCTTGTTGTGGAATGAAAATTTAGCTACAGAAGAATTCAGGCTGATTCATCGAGATTATGGTCTATCATTGGGATAATACCTGTATTACCATACTGCACTGGTATACCCAACAATGGTGGAGTCTTCGTTCAAACTATCTCATGGATCAGTATGAATGAATAAGCTAAATCCACAATTAGTAGAAAATCTTGAGTTGTTTTCAATGTCAGATATTTTGAAATATGAATTTGAAAACTCGCAGGGAAAGCCAGGGGATTTATCCAGACTTTTGATTGACAGTTCTCGGGCTGAAGGCACTAACGAGAACGCAGAGTTGACTGTCTGAATGTCTTTGTCGCTGTTTTACTGCTGCAAGGTTGAAGAAGATGTTTGCTGTTTATGAATGATTTCTGGTATTGTACTATTGTTTAATTCATTGCCTCCTATATCATGCAGAGACTGGGGAGAGTATTCAGGGGTTAATTAAGGTGGTTTTTAGTCGATATAAATTTTTTTGCGAACCATATCCGTTCCAAAATATGTTTAATAACAGTATTTTTTTCGTATGTAAAACAAAAATTTGGAAAGCGTGCCAAAAAAAAAATTGGGGGAAAAACACCCAAAAGAGATCATCCAGCCTATGCCACAATCTAACCTGGTTATACAACCGGCTGCAATATTCAGCATAGTTACAACTACGAAAGGTGCAAGGCGGTTGCTATAGGAAGAACTCCCCCCCATAACTCACATCTTAACGGCCGTCTAAGGGGGAGATGCACTACGGCCCCCAGACCATGATGTATGTGCACCTAACCGTTACGTCTCAGTGAGAAACAGAGTATGCATCGCCACAAGCCTAGCGTCATAGACGAATCAGCTACAGTGGCTAGCCCTGAGAGCGAAGATAAATTTAACGTATTTAAGCTTTTCCTGGTCTCGGGGGGCGGTCCCTAACAAGTATATGCACAGAAAACGACTAATAAGGCACACGCTTGGAAATGTCAAGATTTAAACGCCTAAACGTTTTTTAAGTATTTTTAGCGAGAAATTTATAGTGTTTTTATATTCTTTTAGAAATTTTAGTGTTTTGAAACAATCCTTGTTGGTTTTTAACGTCAAAATAGTCATCGTTCTCGAAAGGAAAGTCAATATAAATGAGTGAACGGCTTAGTTTTATACTAAAATGTTTTGTTCATTTTGTGTTTTGTATAACCGCTTGATTCGCCGGTACACTTTGGGCCTAAATTGTATGTATTTATTTCACAAGTTTTTATTGTTTATCTTCGCTGATTCTGTTCTATTTTCGGGGAATATTTAAGTCCGATCTTTCTTCTTTATTTCTTTTACTAACTATCCATGATATGACGGTGTTGGTTTTGGTTGGATCCCTCCCTGGCCTGGCCTGGCCTCCCCTCCCAGCCTCCCCTTTCAAAGGAAAAGTGCTGACTCAGTTGTTCCAATTCAAGATGGCGGACAAAGTGCAAAACCATCTTCCAACAGCTAGTGTCAGGAATTGAAGTTGTCGTTTTGTGGAATACTTGAGCAAGAACCGAGCTCAGAGAGCAGGGGAACAGGGTCAACGGTAAACATCGATAGTAGATCTGTACGATTGATCTTTAATCGGTTATGTTTGCGCTCTTTTAATATATCTTCTTAAATTAATATAAACACGAGTTCCCGTGTCAGATGGATCTGAGCGTGAAAGATCATAAAATCATCAAGACTGTTATCCAGTTTATTGTAGCATGGGTATTTGTCCCAGCCTTTTCGAAGGAGTAGGTGCAGCCTTTAAACAAAGAACTGGTTTCGGTGATGCTTGTGTGCTGAGCAAGAGATATCAAGTTCCACAATGTTTTGTATATAAAGTGTGTATAACGGTCTTGGTTAATTGTCTTGACGAGCCTTCATTAAGCGGAGAGATGTTGAAAAGCACCCCCGTGCGCTGATGTTAAGTTTGGCTAACTCTGGCTTCAGTGTATAATACCTGCGTGGTTTGATTCATTGTGGCGAGGAATAGAATGGTCGCAGTAGGTTTGTCCACTTTCTCTACAAGTGCCGTCCCACACCTCGAAGTTATGTATTTGAAATTAAATCAAGTTGGATTTTATATGCAATCAATTGGAATAACAATTAAATGTGCTCTTAAAATGGCCATAACATGCTGTTTTCTTGTTGTGGAATGAAAATTTAGCTACAGAAGATTCAGGCTGATTCATCGAGATTATGGTCTATCATTGGGATATACCTGTATTACCATACTGCACTGGTATACCCAACAATGGTGAGTCTTCGTTCAAACTATCTCATGGATCAGTATGAATGAATAAGCTAAATCCACAATTAGTAGAAAATCTTGAGTTGTTTTCAATGTCATATTTTGAAATATGAATTTGAAACTCGCAGGGAAAGCCAGGGGATTTATCCAGACTTTTGATTGACAGTTCTCGGCTGAAGCACTAACGAGAACGCAGAGTTGACTGTCTGAATGTCTTTGTCGCTGTTTTACTGCTGCAAGTTGAAGAAATGTTTGCTGTTTATGAATGATTTCTGGTATTGTACTATTTTTAATTCATTGCCTCCTATATCATGCAGAGACTGGGGGAGTATTCAGGGTTAATTAAGGTGGTTTTTAGTCGATATAAATTTTTTGCGAACCATATCCGTTCCAAATGTTTAATAACAGTATTTTTCTATGTAAACAAAAATTTGAAAGCGTGCCAAAAAAAAATTGGGGGAAAACACCCAAAAGAGATCATCCAGCCTATGCCACAATCTAACCTGGTTATACAACCGGCTGCAATATTCAGCATAGTTACAACTACGAAAGGTGCAAGGCGTTGCTATAGGAAGAACTCCCCCCATAACTCACATCTTAACGGCCGTCTGAAGGGGGAGATGCACTACGGCCCCAGACCATGATGTATGTGCACCTAACCGTTACGTCTCAGTGAGAAACAGAGTATGCATCGCCACAAGCCTAGCGTCATAGACGAATCAGCTACAGTGGCTAGCCCTGAGAGCGAAGATAAATTTAACGTATTTAAGCTTTTCCTGGTCTCGGGGGCGTCCTAACAAGTATATGCACAAACGACTAATAAGCACACGCTTGAAATGTCAAGATTTAAACGCCTAAACGTTTTTAAGTATTTTAGCGAGAAATTTATAGTGTTTTTATATTCTT